TAGTGTAATCTTATGAAGGAACAAAAGTAAAGACAGGAATCCAAAATAAAAATAGCACAAAGGATATGAATAGGCATTTCAGAGAGGAGGAAGTTTTGTTGGCTAATAAGAATATGAAATAGCCAGGTGCAATGACTCACGCCTGTAATCCCAGCACTTTGGGAGGCCAAGGTGGGTGGATTACCTGAGGTCAGGAGTTGGAAACCAGCCTGGCCAAAATGGCGAAACCTTGTCTCTATGAAAAATACAAAAATTAGCTGGGGATGGTGGCACATGCCTGTAATCCCAGCTACTAGTGGGGCTGAGGCAGGAGGATCACTTGAACTTAGGAGGCTGAGGTTGCAGTGAGCCAAGATCATTTCACTGAACCCCAGCCTTGGCAACACAGTGAGACTCCATCTCAAGAAAAAAAAAAAAATAATATGAAGTAACACTCAAACTCACTAGTAATCAGAGAAATGTAATTTTAAATAACTAAGAGTACACTTAATATACACATTAGAATTGCAAATATTAGAGAGTTGTATAATATTAAGTGTTGGGAAGGGTCTGAGGTAATAAAAACTGACAGTAATAATGTTGATACTGTAAACATCTACAGACCTGGGTTTTCTTGTTTTGTTTTGTTTTTCAGGTTTTTTTAAAGAATGTCTCACCATGTTATCAAGGCTGGCTTCAAACTCCTGGGCTCAGGCAATCCTCCTACCTCAGCCTTCTGAGAAGCTGGGACTACAAGTGCATGCCATGCCCGGTTTATAGCTACAGATTTTCTGAAAAATAATCTGATGCTACTTAGTAAAATTGAGCATGCACATACCTTACCACAGAAATTCCACTCCGAGGAATATGTTCCAGAGAAATTCTTGAACTGGCTCACAGGGGACTATGTAAGAGATAACTGTCTGGCATTGTGTATAGAAGTCGGGAATGGGTAAGTAAAGTATAATGGATGCCTACCATGGAATCCTATGTAGCAGTTATAAGCAATGAATTAGATTATATGTAGTGATAAGGATGAAAACAGAGTTAATCAAAAAAAAGTAAAAGCAGGCTGGCATGGTGACTCACATCTGTAATCCCAGGACTATGGGAAGGTGAGGCAGGCGGATGGCTTGAGCCCAGGAGTTTGAGACCAGCCTGGGCAACATAGCAAGACTCCATCTCTATACAAAAAAGAAAAAAGTGTACATTTAAAAAAAAAATTTTTTTTTGAGACAAAGTCTCACTCACTCTCTCCCCCAGCCTAGAGTGCAGTGGCATGATCTCCGCCCATTGCAACCTCCCCCTTCTGGGTTCAAGTGATTCTCGTGCCTCAGCCTCCCGAGTAGCTGGGATTACAGGCATGCACCACCACACCCAGCTAATTTTTGTATTTTTAGTAGAGATGGGGTTTTGCCAAGTTGGCCAGGCTGGTCTCAGATTCCTGACCTGAAGTGATCCGCCTGCCTTCGTGTCCCGAAGTGCTGGGATTGCAGGTGTAAGCCACCAAGGCTGACCTTAAAAATTTTTTTAAAGAGGAAGTTCAAACATTATTTCTTCTTGGAGGTCTTTCCTGTTGATGCATTCAATCATATATTCATCTGTCTATTGACTCATTCAACAAGGATTGAGCACTTTTACGAAGGATAATGCAAGGTACTAAAGATATGATGGTAAGCCAAAAATAGAGGGTTACCTTCATCATCTCCTTGGAGGTCTATTGGGGGAAACTGAGTTTAGTAAACATATTATGTTCACATTGATAAATATATAATTACCAACTAATATACATGCTCTGAGGAAACAAACATTAGTTTTTGAGAGCACATAGCCAAGAGGTCTTTACTAGATTGGGGTGGGTGGTAGGTAAAGGGGTTCAAGGAAGGCCTGAGGAAATAACAATGGAAATCAATTTGGAGGCATAAATAGGCAAAGTGGAAGTGAAAAGGACATTCCAGAAACAGGGACCATATAGAGCAATCAGGACAAACTTGAGGAATTGAAAGAAGCCATGAAGTTGGAGGTATTAATAGAAGGGGAAGAGTGGTGGAAGATGGAAGGTTTCAGTGGGGAGAGGTCAAGGGATAGTGGTAGCCTGACTGGATGTGCATTTTGGAAAGATTACTCTAGCTGCTATATGGAGAATGGAAGAGTGTGAAAAGAAAGAGAGACTAAGGGATGGGAGACCAACTAAGAGACTCTTGCAATTGCCTAGGTGAAACTGAGGTGGATTAGGGTGGTGCTAACAAAGAACAAGAAAGTAGATGGGCCGGTGGCTCACTTTGGGAGGCCAAGGCAAGTGGATCACTTGCGGTCAGGAGTTCGAGACCATCCTGACCAACATTTGTGAAACCCTGTCCCAACTAAAATACAAAAATTAGCTGGGCATGGTGGCTGGCGCCTGTAATCCCAGCTGCTCAGGAGGCTGAGGCAGGAGAATTGCTTGAACCTGGGAGGTGGAGGCTGCAGTGAGCCAAGATCAGGCCACTGCACTCCAGCCTGGGTGACAGAGCAAGACTCCATCTCAAGAGAAAGAAGAAGGGAAGGGAAGGGAAGGGAAGGGGAGGGGAGGGGAGGGGAGGGGAGGAGGGGAGGGAAAGAGAGAGAGAAAGAAAGAAAGAAAGAGAGAAAGAGAGTGAGAGAGAGGAAGAGAAAGAGAGAGAAAAAAGTGAAAGAAAAAGAAAGAGAAAGAAAGTGAGAGGAAGAGAGAGAAAAAAGTGAAAGAGAAAAAGAAAGGAAAGAAAGAAAGAAAGAAAGAAAGAAAGAAAGAAAGAAAGAAAGAAAGAAAGAAAAGAAAGAAAATTTTTCTTTTTTGAGACAGAGTCTCACTGTCACCCAGGCTGGAGAATGCAGTGGTACAATCTCTGCTCACTGCAGCCTCTGCCTCCTGGGTTCAAGTGATTCTCCTGCCTCAACCTCTTGAGTAGCTGGGATTACAGGCACCAGCCACCATGCCTAGCTAATTTTTGTATTTTTAGTAGAGACAGGGTTTCACAGTGTTGGTCAGGATGGTCTCAGATTCTTGAACTCAGGTGATCCACCCACCTTGGCCTCCCAAAGTGCTGGGATTATAGGCATAAACCCAGCCGAAAGTAGATGAATTTTTTTTGTTGTTTGTTTGGTTTTTTTGAGATGGAGTTTCTCTCTTGTTGCCCAGGTTGGAGTGCAGTGGTGCGATCTCAGCTCACCTCAACCTCCGCCTCCCAGGTTCAAGTGATTCTCCTGCCTCAGCCTCCTGAGTAGCTGGGATTACAGGCATGCGCCACCAAGCCCGGCTAATTTTTGTGTTGTCAATAGAGAAGGATTTCTCCATGTTGGTCAGCCTGGTCTTGAACTCCCGACCTCAGGTGATCCACCTGCCTTGGCCTCCCAAAGTGCTGGGATTACAGGCATGAGCCACTGTGCCCAGCCTGAAAGTAGAGGAATTTTAAAGATACATACAATTAGTAAAGATACCTTACATATCTTTAATTTTTTTTTTTTTTTTTTTTTTTTTTTTTTTTTTTTTTTTTACAGAAACAGGATCTTGCTACATTGTCTAGGCTGGTCTGGAATTCCAGGCCTCAAGAGATCTGCCTGGGCCATCCAAAGTGCTAGGAAGGACACCTGCAGCCCCAGGCTAGACAATGTAGCCAGATCCTGTCTCTACAAAAAAACAAATATTAGCTGGTGGGGGGCACCTGTAGTCCCAGGTGAGAGGCTGAGGTGGGAGGATCCTTGAACTCAGGAGGTCCAGGCTGCAGTGAGCTGAGATCGCACCACTGCACTCCAGCCTGGGCGACAGAGTGAGACCCTGTCTCAAAAATGCATAAATAGTAAAATTAGTGAGTGAATGAGAGATGGGATATGTAAAGGGAGTGGGAGGACTTACGGAGTAACTCCTCGTTTCTGACTTGTGTAAGAATAACTTCTGTGATTGGTGGGGAAAATTCACCAGAGTTCTGTCAACTTGAAAGTGGTGTTCATTTCCTGTCCCCCATTAGGGGTTACCCCGTCCATCTTAAGCAGGATATTCTAGGATCTCTCAGTCTCACAGCTCTGCCCACCAATAACCAGCAGGTGAGCCCCCTCTCCCCAGACCTCTAGATCTGCAAAAGGCTACCTGGAGGCAAGGAAAGCCCAGCTGTGAGTAGTCATTCAATTCTGGTGCTGTGGTAACTGAGTTCAAAAACAATGAGTCTTGTTACCTATCGTGAAATGAAAGACACCTCACCAGACACCTCACTGGGTTGTGAGGCTCCAAGGAGCACACATATTGTTAGGCTCAGTTCGATTCCCTTCAGCCCTCTGCCTGTTTGAAGGCAGTTCCTTATCTTGGAGACAACGTGCAGATGTTCTCTCTCTCTTTCCCTCTTTATTTATTTATGTATTTATCCTTAAGACAGGGTCTCTCTCTGTTGCCCAGGCTGGAGTGCAGTGGCGTGACCACAACTCAAACAGCCTCAACCTCCTGGGCTCAAAACGATCCTCCTGCCTCAGCCTCCAGAGCAGCTGGGACTACAAGCGCGCACCACTGCACAGGAATTATTATTATTATTTTATTATTTTGTAGATAGGGGTGGGAGTGGTCTCGCTATGTTGCCCAGGCTGGTCTCAAACTCATAGCTCAAAAGATCTTCCCGCCTCGGCGTCCCAAAGTGCCGGGATTACAGGCGCCTGCCACCGCGCCCGGACGCAGATATTTTCTATGGGTATCTGGAATGGCGTCCCCAAAGCTTGGCGCAGGGCTATGGTCAAGCCGGGTGGGGGGCACAGGCCAGCCTTCAACACCGTTGGCACCAATCAGAACAAGCAACCGTCCTCTCAGGGCCGCGACGGCCCCTTTCTGCCAATGGCCAGCCCCTCGCCGGTCCCGAGACCTCGCGAGAGCTCCCATGGCTACGCCTTCCCCGGCCTCGGAACGGCCTCGGAACTGCCCCATCCTTCCTCTTTCCCCGCCTTCCAGCGGCGCTCCACTCTCGGATTGGCTGATTGAGCCGAGTCAGTTTTTTTTTTTTTTTTTTTTTTTCCTGGCCAGAAAGCGGTTCGACAATTGGTCCTTCTTTTGGCCCCTCCTGCGAAGCCCGCGGATTGGACTGCTGAGTCTGGCTACACAGGCCTCCGCGGGAGCGCGGCCGGGCCAATCAGGAGCTTGGCGTATTTTACAAACTGAGGAAGTAGCTCCATCCGTATCCGAGAGAGTCAGGCGAAAAGCGGAGGAAGCTGGGTCGGCCCTGAGGGGCTCTCGGTAAGGTGAGGCACGGGGGTCTTGGAGGGAACGAGGGCTGCTGGGCTCATAGGGACGAGGGCAGTTCGAGGTCCGAGGGCGAAAGAGTAGTTTCGGGGTGTCTGGAGGTAGCACCCATAAGAGCGGTCTTGCAGGCGCCGGGGGCTTGTGGGCGCGTGGATTAGGGCAGAGGTATCAGGGATGGCGGGACAGGTGCCCGGAGAACTGGTTGATCTTTGATCTCCGATTCTACCTGCCTTCTTCCCCGTCTCAACTGTAGCCATCATGACCACCCGGCAAGCCACGAGGGATCCCCTCCTTCGGGGTGTATCTCCTACCCCTAGCAAGATTCCGGTACGCTCTCAGAAACGCACGCCTTTCCCCACTGTTACATCGTGCGCCCTGGACCAGGAGAACCAAGATCCAAGGGTAAGAGCGGCCTAATGGGGGAAGACAGTAGTCACACCAGTAATGCACCCCAACACTAAACCTCACCTTTTTGTCCCCCCTCCCTCCCCTAGAGATGGTTGCAGAAACCACCGCTCAATATTCAACGCCCCCTCGTTGATTCAGCAGGCCCTAGGCCCAAAGCCAAGCACCAGGCAGAGACATCACAAAGATTGGTGGGGATCCCTCAGCCTCGGAACCCCTTGGAGGAGCTCAGGCCTAGCCCTAGGGGTCAAAATGTGGGGCCTGGGCCCCCTGCCCAGACAGGTACCTGTTGGAGCCCTGGTAACACGGCCTCCATGGCCGAGTAGGGAACTAGGAAGGGTAAAAGTGGGGTTTTGGGGTTTTGCACTCACTCCTGCTGTCTCCTGCTTACTGTGATAGTCCTGGTTCCACCTCCTGGAAAGCTCTTTGCTCTTAGAAGATCTCCCTTTCCTCCAGCAAAATGTCATCTCACCAGGCGCCATGGCTTGTACCAGTAATCACAGCTACTCAGGAGGCTAAAGCGGGAGGATCACTGGAGGCCAGGAGTTGGAGACTAGCCTGGATGACAGAGGGAGATCCTATCTCTTTAAAAAAATAATAAATAAATAAATAATAAATGTCACTTCTTCTGAAGCCTTTTCCAGTTCCCCATGTCACTTGTTCTCCTAATACTTTGCAGTACTTCTTTTATAACATGTATATACCTTGGCTTGAGTCTGTTACCTGTCTATAGTTTGATGATAGCTTCTTGAGGATAGGGGCTTTGTCTTATTCTTATGGGACCCCAATGCTTAGAATAGTGTCTTATGTAACATTCTATGAACATTTGGTGGGCAGGTGTGGTGGCTCACGCCTGTAATTCCAACACTTTGAGAGGCTGAGGCGGGAGGGTCACTTGAGCTCAGGAGTTTGAGACCAGCCTGGACAACATGGTGAGACCCCATTTCTTTTTAGTTTTTCTTTTTTTTTTTCTTTTCTTTCTTTTTTTTTTTTTTTTTTTTTTTGGAGATAGAGTCTTACTGTATCCCTCAGGTTGGACGACAGTGGCATGATCTCAACTCACTGCAATATCCACCTCCGAGGTTCAAGCAATTATCATGACTCAGCCTCCCCCAAGTACCTGGGATTACGGACACCTGCCACCACACCTGGCTAATTTTTGTTTGCTTTATTTATTTATTTATTTATTTATTTATATGAGACGGAGTCTCGCTCTGTCACCAGGCTGGAGTGCAGTGGCATGATCTTGGCTCACTGCAGCCTCCACCTCCCAGGTTCAAATGATTCTCCAGCCTTAGCCTCCTGAGTAGCTGGGACTACAGGTGTGTGCCACCATGCCCAGCTAATTTTTTTTTTTTTTTTTTAAGTAGAGATGGGGTTTCACTATGTTGACCAGGCTGGTCTCAAACTCCTGACCTGAGGTGATCTGCCCGTCTCAGCCTCCCAAAGTGCTGGGATTACAGGAGTGAGCTACCATGCCCAGCCAATTTTTGTATTTTTTTAGTAGAGACAGGGTTTTGCCATGTTGGCCAGGTTGGTCTCAAACTCCTGACCACAAGTGATCCACCCGCCTCAGCCTCCCAAAGTGCTGGGATTACAGGTGTGAGCCACCACGCCCAGCCATCTATTGCTTAAAAAAAAAAAAAAAAGCCAAATTCAATTGAATGAGTCTCTTTTGCTCACCTTGTATCTCAAAGTGACTATGCTAGGGTCCCTATCCCCCTCAGCTTTCCCCCTTCCTGTTCCTTCTTACCTTTCCTTCTCTTTCCTTGCAGAGGCTCCAGGGACCATAGAGTTTGTGGCTGACCCTGCAGCCCTGGCCACCATCCTGTCAGGTGAGGGTGTGAAGAGCTGTCACCTGGGGCGCCAGCCTAGTCTTGCTAAGAGAGTACTGGTTCGAGGAAGTCAGGGAGGCACCACCCAGAGGGGCCAGGTAATGAAACAGGATGTGAGGAGACCAGGCTGGGGGCGCTGAGGTGGGCATCCTGAGCTGTGCTGACAGCCTCTGTTGGTGTCCCAGGGTGTTCGGGCCTCTGCATATTTGGCCCCCAGAACTCCCACTCACCGACTGGACCCTGCCAGGGCTTCCTGCTTCTCAAGGCTGGAGGGACCAGGACCTCGAGGCCAGACTTTGTGCCCCCAGAGGCTACAGGCTCTGGTGAGTGCCCTTGAGAGGCCTGATACTTGGTGCTTCTGGGAGCTCCTTCCAGGGACAAAGCTGGCCTTTGGGAGAGGAAGTACCTCATGATGAGGCAAGGGATCCTATTGGGGGAGATGGGGTTGGTGGTGAGGCCTGAGGGTTTAGGGTCCACCTCTGATTCCGTTTTCATCTCTTGCTCCTGTGGATCAGATTTCACCTTCAGGACCTTCCTTTCACCCTTCCACTCGCCCCAGTTTCCAGGAGCTAAGAAGGGAGACAGCTGGCAGCAGCCGGTGAGAAAGGAGAGGGTGTGGGAGAAGGTCATCTGGAAAAGAATGAACCAGTGTCTGATACAGGAGTCCCCCAGAGTTGGGGCCTTCCAGTAGCTTTAGGACTCCCCACCAACTCTGAAGGGGAAGCAAGAAACCTGTGATTACCCAGGATGAGCCCTTGGGATAGGGTTCAGGCCTTCACAGGCAGGCCTCAGTGTGACATCAGTTTCTTCAAGTCATGGGGGGACAGGCAGGACAGAAATGTGCTATCTCTTTTGTTTAGTGGCTACAGTATAGACTGTGGCAATAAATGGGATTTGGGTTTATATCCTAACTCTTACCACTTACTAGTTGTGCAAGCTTGCCTTCACCTCTCTGAGCTTTGGTTTCTTTGTCAAGTGAGAATAACATTTGTATCATCATTAGAAATTGTCATGAGAATGAAATGAGATGATGTTTGTAAAGCACTTAGCACATGTCCAGCTCATACTTGGTACTCAGTGACTGCTGGCTACTGTCCTTATTGTCATCAGGACTTCAGTGAGCCAGGCCTCAGGATTGCTCCTGGAGACCCCAGTCCAACCTGGTGAGTGTGTCTGGCTGTGGGGAGAGCACAGGGGCAGTTGGGCTGCCTGAAGCAGGGAACAAGATCAGATAAAACTCAGCAGGCTGGGAGGGAGCATGAGAAAGTGGGAGGCTGGGAGGCTAGGTCAGAAGGAGAAGAAGAAGAGACTTTCTAGATAGGCTAGAGGTTGGCACAGTTGCACTTGTGTCAAAGGAGATGGTCTTCATTTCGGCCCTCTCTCTGCCACTTCCTGCAAGATTTATCTTCCACTCACTGTTTATCCCCAGCCCCTAAGTGCCATCACCACATACCCAGCCTACTCAGATGTTCAGATTAGTAAGTGTTTACTGAGATAGTGTTGGGTGTTGAGGGGCTGCTGGATGGGTTCCTGTCCCTAATAGTGCAATGGGGGCTATTAAACTAATATACCCTCTTCAGAAGTTGTAGAACCCTGTGCCAAACTTTGGTGGGTGTTCTAGAGTCTACAACAAATGTCCCGTTTCTTCCTAGCTTTCTCTCTCCCTAAAGGAGAACATGAGGTTGTCACTCGCTCAGATGAAGGAAGTGTGGCCTCTCTTGGTCTGGCCCAGCGAGTACCATTAAGAGAAAACCGAGAAATGACACATACCAGGGTGAGATGCAACTCTCCTGGGATGGTGGGTGGGAGGTGCAGGAGATGCTTGGGAGAATTTCGCAGCAGCAGCCAACACTGAGAATTGTAGGTAGAGCCAGGCAGTCTTGGGCCTCAGGATGTTATTGGGTAGGTTTACCCCAGATGCACCCAGTCCCTCTCCAATGTGAAACTGACCTCTCTTTATCAAATGTCTAGGGCCTGGGGTGAGAGATCATATTTGTATCACCGTCAGATCAGTGCTAAGGGTGAGACAGATCTGCCACTTGTCAGCCAAAAGGATTCATCCCTTCGCTTCACAAATATTTACTGAGTAGCACCAGCCTACTGAGTGCCAGGCCATGTTCTAGGCTCTGGACATACAGCAATAAACAAGTTCATATTCTAGAAGGGGGAGACAAGAAATAAACACATATATAAAATAGTGTCTCAGATGACTGTAAGTTCTCTATAAAAAAATAATAAAAATAATAGGGCACTAAAGGGGAATTGGGAGCAGGGGAGTTGGTGTTGCAATTTAAAATAGATTGGTCAGGGAACTCTTATTGAGAAGATGATGTTTAAGTGAAGACCAGGGGTTGGAGGAGGAGTGAGATATGTTGATATCTGGGGGAAGGAATGTTCCAGGCCAAGAGAACTGAAGAGGCAAAGGCCCTGGGGAGGGAATGTGCCTGGCATATTTGAGGATCGGCAAAAAGGAGAGGCCAGTGAGATTGAAGCAGAGTAAGGAGAGCGGTAGGAGATATGGTTTTAGTGATAACACGATCAGATTGGGTAAGGAATTGTACACTAGTGGGAAGCCATGGGGAGAAGGGTTGATCAAGAAAGTGACATGATTTGACTTAGGTCTTTTTTTTTTTTTTGAGACGGAGTCTCGCTGTGTCGCCCAGGCTGGAGTGCAGTGGCCGGATCTCAGCTCACTGCAAGCTCTGCCTCCCGGGTTTTTACGCCATTCTCCTGCCTCAGCCTCCCGAGTAGCCGGGACTACAGGCGCCCGCCACCTCGCCCGGCTAGTTTTTTGTATTTTTTAGTAGAGATGGGGTTTCACCGTGTTAGCCAGGATGGTCTCGAACTCCTGACCTCGTGATCCGCCCGTCTCGGCCTCCCAAAGTGCTGGGATTACAGGCTTGAGCCACCGCGCCCGGCCTTTTTTTTTTTGTTTGAGACGGAGTTTCACTCTTGTTGCCCAGGCTGGAGTGCAGTGGCATGATCGCCACTCATCACAACCACCGCTTCCCAGGTTCAAGTGATTCTCCTGCCTCAGCCTCCTGAGTAGCTGGGATTACAGGCATGCACCACCACGCCTGACTAATTTTGTAGTTTTAGTAGAGACAGGGTTTCTCCATGTTGGTCAGGCTGGTCTCGAACTCCCGACTTCAGATGCTCTGTTCTCCTTGGCCTCCCAAAGTGCTGGGATTACAGGCCTGAGCCACCATGCCTGGCTTGACTTAGGTCTTAAAAGAATCACGCTGGCTGCTGTAGTGAGAACAAGATATAGGAAGACAAAGGGGGCAGGGATCACTCTTCCACCTTTTTCTTCTTCACAGGACAGCCGTGACTCCCACCTGATGCCCTCCCCTGCCCCTGTGGCCCAGCCCTTGCCTGGCCATGTGGTGCCATGTCCATCACCCTTTGGACGGGCTCAGCGTGTACCCTCCCCAGGCCCTCCAACTGTGGTTTGTGTCAACAACTGGGGGCTGGGCAGGGGCAGAACAGTCTGGCCAGAGATCCTTGCTAGGTCTGCTAAGCCACCCACATCTCTCCCCAGACCTCATATTCAGTGTTGCGGCGTCTCACCATTCAACCTAAAACCCGATTCACGCCCATGCCATCAACCCCCAGAGTTCAGCAGGTAAGAGAGGACATGGGGAGGTGGCTGGCAGAAGCCACAGCTAGGGGAGAAAGGAGATGGATGGGTACAGGAGAGAGAAGACAGAAGCAAGGGGAGGTTGAGTGCCACCTGTGGGTGTCAGGCCTTGCTGACATCTCACTTCTGTGCCAGGCCCGGTGGCTGAGTGGTGTTTCCCCTCAGTCCTGCTCTGAAGATCCTGCCCTGCCCTGGGTAAGTATCAGAAGGCTCCCCCTACTGAGATTCCTTGCCCTGTGCTGCCAGCCTGAAGGCCCAGGAGTTTGAGACACATGTGCTTTCTGGGCCAGGCATGATGGCTCACACCTGTAATCCCAGCACTTTGGGAGGCTGAGGTGGGAGGATTGCTTGAGCCCAGATCTTTGAGACCAGCCTGGGCAACATAGTGAGACCCTGTCTCTACTAAAAATTTTAAAAATTAGAAAATGCTCTCTGGAAAAGCTGCCTAACTCTCCCTGCTTCTCTGCTGCCCCTCCTAATGTACATCTAGGGCCTCTCAGTCAGCGGCTTTAATCTATTCCTCATGAGGGTGGGACTCAGGCTGGTCTTTCTCCTGCCCCATCCTGGCTTTCTTGTGTGCCTTGTTCCTTGGTGACAGGAGCAGGTTGCCGTCCGGTTGTTTGACCAGGAGAGTTGTATAAGGTCACTGGAGGGGTCTGGGAAACCACCTGTGGCCACTCCTTCTGAACCCCACTCTAACAGAACCCCCAACCTCCAGGAGGTGAAGATTCAAGTGAGTCTGTGTGGGCAACAGCTTTGATGTCTATTGAACAGTGACTGGGGCTGAGGAAGAAGGAAAAGAGATGGGGGGTCAGGAATAGGACAGTGTAAGTAGACTACTGAATGCACATCTTGATGTCACACTGGGGTGCTCTCTCCCACCACAGCGCATCGGTATCCTGCAGCAGCTGTTGAGACAGGAGATAGAGGGGCTGGTAGGGGGCCAGTGTGCCCCCCTTAACGGAGGCTCTTCTCTGGATATGGTTGAACTTCAGCCCCTGCTGACTGAGATTTCTAGAAATCTGAATGCCACAGAGCATAACTCTGGGACTTCCCACCTTCCTGGATTGTTAAAATGCTCAGGGCTGCCAAAGCCCTGCCTTCCAGAGGAGTGCGGGGAACCACAGCCCTGCCCTCCAGCGGAGCCTGGGCCGCCAGAGGCTGTCTGTAGGAGTGAGCCTGAGACACCAGAGCCCTCCCCACAGGAACAGCTTGAGGTACCAGAGCCCTGCCCTCCAGCAGAACCCAGGCCCCCAGAGTCCTGCTGTAGGAGTGAGCCTGAGATACCGGAGCCCTCCCGCAAGGAACAGCTTGAGGTACCAGAGCCCTGCCCTCCAGCAGAACCCAGGTCCCCAGAGTCCTGCTGTAGGAGTGAGCCTGAGATACCAGAGCCCTCTCAGCAGGAACAGCTTGAGGTACCAGAGCCCTGCCCTCCAGCAGAACCCAGTCCCCTTCAGCCCAGCACCCAGGGGCAGTCTGGACCCCCAGAGCCCTACCCTAGGGTAGAGCTGGGGGCATCAGAGCCCTGCACCCTGGAACATAGAAGTCCAGAGTCCAGCCTACCACCCTGCTGCAGTCAGTGGGCTCCAGCAACCACCAGCCTGATCTTCTCTTCCCAACACCCGCTTTGTGCCAGCCCCCCTATCTGCTCACTCCAGTCTCTGAGAACCCCGGCAGGCCAGGCAGGTAAGGAGTTGGCTGGGAAGGAGTGTGAACACAAGAGGTCCTCAACTCACTGTGAGCTGCACCCCTGCCCTGCCCCACCCCTGCTCCAGGCAATCCCATGCTTCCATACCTTCCACCCTGGCCCAGCCTGGCTCTCCCTCAGGAAGAGGGGAGGGGCTGCACTTCCAGCCCTGTGCTCCTAATTGGCTTGGCCCCGTTGGTGGGGGAGGAGGAAAGGACAGTACATGGTGGAAGTATGGGACTCCAGACCGCCCTCTAAATTCTCCATGCCCCTCAGGCCTCAGCAGTCTGGCCCCTCGAACCCTAGCCCTGAGGGAGCGCCTCAAATCGTGTTTAACCGCCATCCACTGCTTCCATGAGGCTCGTCTGGACGATGAGTGTGCCTTTTACACCAGCCGAGCCCCTCCCTCAGGCCCCACCCGGGTCTGCACCAACCCTGTGGCTACATTACTCGAATGGCAGGATGCCCTGGTGAGACTCCAACCCACAGCCCAGCTGTGGCTGCACAGTGAGCCTGATGGGAGGTGGGGAACGGGGACAGGGGGCCACCTTGGCTCCTTCACAGAGAGGTCAGCAGGAAGGCTTAGCTACAGTGCAAGGCTGGCTGGGCTGTGACAAGGTCTTCTCTCTCTCCAGTGTTTCATTCCAGTTGGCTCTGCCCCCCGGGGCTCTCCATCATGAGACAACCACTCCTGCCCTACCGTGCTTCTTCCTTTTAGCCCTTATTTATTGTCGGTCTGCCCATGGGACTGGGAGCCGACCACTTTTGTCCTCAATAAAGTTTCCAAAGTATCCACATGTCTAGCTAATGAGTTCTAACTGTCCAAACAGGCCAGCTACTGCTGTCACTCTCCCATTGCCCACAGGGTGGCAGTGTCCTCCAGTTCAGAAGACTGCGCTGGGCTCTTGGGATCCCCCAGGCTCTCATCCAGAAGGGAGTCCTGAATCCTGAAAGGGAAGGAAGCAACCCACTCCTGCCTAGCCCACTCCCTTGCAAGCTCTGAGCATCCCACTCCTGCCAAGCCCACTCCCAAGCTCTGTAAATATGTTGGTGAGCAATTGGAACCGCTGTTCCCCTTGCCTTTTGAGATCAGTTCCACTTAACCTGCAGGAACCCTAGACTACTCCTTCACCCCCTAGAGCTCCTTTTCTAGAACTCTCTGCATGCACTGGGCAGAAGAGCAGAAGAACCAGACCCAGACCTTTGGAATCTTCCCTTGTTAGGTTGCTGTCTCTCTCCACCTACAACGTGAGGCCCCAAAGCTTTCCTGAAACTGAGACCATCCTTCTTCCTCCCCATAGCAGAGTAGAAGCACACACACACACCCCTTTTCTCAGGCCTTGACTGGAATTAACTAAAACTTTGCCTCTGGCAGGGACTGACAGCACAGTAGGAGTCCTTTAGAGGAATGAGGGAAAGGGTCAACCACTTTCCCCCGAGTCTATGCACCAAGTTAAGCAGCCACACACAATCCCCCAACCTCACTTTATTGGACGAGGCAGCAGCAGCTGTAGCCCTGGGGCCTAGTCCGGATAGCGGGGAATGGAGACTGTACAGAATGCGTTTTAAATGCCAGGAAAGAATTCACTGGTTCCTCCAGTTCACAGAAGGCTGCCAAGGCTGGAGCCTGAGCCTGAAAGTGGAGATGAGGGGAGGAGAGGGTGGCGAGAGAAAGTTGTCGTGACGGCGAACCTGCACTACCCTGTCTTAAAGTCTTCTCTTGCCTAAATGGGCTCCTCCTGTTTCTGTTATTTCCCTCGCAAGCTGCGGGGCTTCCCTCCGGCTTTGTGGGCCTCTGAATCCCGCTAGTAAAACTGCTCCCCATCTCTGTACAAATGAGAGAGCCACGACCTCTGCCCCTCTGGGTTCCAGCGCGCACTTGGGTGCGGGTGATCCCTCCGGAAGTCGCTCTGCTCCTCCGGCCGGGTCTCCTCCTCTTTCCGGCCACTTATACCCTTGAGCACCAAGAGTTCGCCCATTTAGGCCGCCTCCAGGAACGGGAGGGTCCACCCCACCACCAGGCTCTCAAAGGGTGGGGTGGCGCCTCGGGTGGGGCGGGCTGGAGGTGGGTGAGGACGGGAGAGAAGGCGTGAACGGGGGCACGGGGCGGGGCCGGCTCAGTCGGGGTAGATGATGAAGCCGGAGAAGGTGCTGTACTTGTTGGTGTTGCCGCCGTGCACCTTCCCGCCGTCCAGCTTGATGAAGACCTCGTCGCCCACGTCCAGGTGCAGAATGACGCTGTTGCTGGCGTAGTCGTAGTTCTGGTCCGCGTCCTGAGCAATGGCGCTGGCCCGGACCTATCGAGGGAGAAGAACCCCCTCATGCTCGGTGTGGAGCTGGGGTGACGGGAGGGGTCGGGGCTGCTGGGCGTGCGAAGGCGGCAGCGCAGCCGCCGCAGGGGCTGGGGAGGACCAGAAAGGAGGGTAGGACATCGCGGAGTTGCTCCAGCGCTGCCATTCACTAGCTGTGTGACGCGGAGCAAATTCCACGCCTTTTCTGGACCTCAAATTGATCTATAAAGTGAAGGATAATAATAGAACCCACCTCATAGGGTGTTAGGATTAAGTGAATTACTACGTGTGAAGTGTGTTCAGAACAGTGGTTTGCTTTTTTTTTTTTTTTTTTTTTTTTAAGAGGTGGAGTTTCGCTCTTCTTGCCCAGGCTGGAGTGCAATGGCGCGATCTCGGCTCACTGCAACCTCCGTCTCCCGGGTTCAAGCTATTCTCCTGCCTCAGCCTACCTAGTAGCTGGGATTACAGGCGCCCACCACCACGCCCTGCTAATTTTTTCTATTTTTAGTAGAGACGGGGTTTCACTGTGTTGGCCAGGCTGGTCTCGAACTCCTCACCTCAGGTGATGCACCCACCTCAGCCTCCCAAAGTAATGGGATTACAGGCGTGAGCCACCGCATCTGGCTCAGTGGTTTCCATTCCTAAATTATTTTTAATGCATTTTCAAATTACTATTGTCATTTAAAAAATAAAATTGGCCGGCCAGGCCCGGTGACTCATACCTGTAAGCCCAGCACTTTGAGAGGCCGAGGTCGGCGGATCATCTGAGATCGGGAGTTTGAGAAGAGCCTGACCAACATAGAGAAACCCTGTCTCTACTAAAAATACAGAATTAGCTGGGCGTGGTGGTGCATGCCTGTAATCCCAGGTACTAGGAGGCTGAGGTAGGAGAATCGCTTGAACCCAGGAGGCAGAGGTTGCGGTGAGTGGAGATAGCGCCATTGCACTCCAACCTGGGCAACAAGAGCGAAACTCTGTCTCAAAAACATAAAAAATAAAATAAAATAAAAATTTGCCTATAGGATAATTTCTAAAATTCTGAACCGACTTGGACCTCCTGTCAGTCCTCATGGAGGGTTGGCTTCCCCAGTGGTGGAGCATAGGTGTGCCTGTGCGTGTGCCACAGAGTGCAGGCCATGCTGAGATGCACTGTTGCCCTCTCGCCTGTGGGCGTGGATTTCCCGACCGAGCACCCGCTGGTGCCCAGGCGCGGGGAGGTCGTCTTCTGCCAGAACAGGGAGCCCTTCCTCCCCTCTGGGCTCACGGCGGTCGATTCGGGCCTCCAGTCCCCCTCTTCTAGAGAGTCCCACAGGAGCTGGTTATTAACTCATTAATTATTCATCATTATTCTAATCACTATTTACCGTCCCCAGGGCCGCAGCGCCCGCACCGAAGAATACAGAGTGGGAGCTGCGCGGTCCCCTCCCCCTCTGAAACCCGCACGAATTAGTTACACACTGGCCCCCTCCACCTCCTCCCAGATACCCCGCATAGACAAAGCACACCTACTCGGTGTTATATGCAGATAGACACCTCTCCACTTTCAACATCTTTGCACTCCGCAGTCACACACACTCCCTGATATATATATTCTCTCACTCCATGAGGACGCACACTCACTCCCTTTCCCCGGGTTCCTGGGGCAGCCCTGCTGGGATGAGACCCCAAAGCAGGTCTGGGGGCAGGCAGACGCTGCCGCGGTACCAGGCTCCCGCAGGCTGAAGCTCCTGGGTAGCCACCACTCCCTTCATGCGGGACATCCTGAGGTCACCACTCAGCCCCAACCTCCCTTTGCGGCCTGCGCAGCTCTGGCACCTTCTCCCACCTACCCCACACCTGTGGCCTCTAGTTCCCACTTTATGTGAAATTTTGGTGCTAGAGCTTAGTTCTTGGGGCTATTCCCCGAAAACAGAGGCAACAGTGACTCCAACTGCCCACAAAGGCAGGGAACCACGGAACCTGGATACTGAGAGATTGCTAGGGAGGGTGTGGGGCCTACAAGATCAGGCTAGGGTCCAAGGCTTTTCTACCTATCCCTTGCCTCTTTCCTCCCTCAAATCCATTCATTCCAGCCACCTGGCTGGCCCTTGAGCTGCCAGGCTACAGACTCAGCTGAGGGCAAAGCTGTTCTAGGCCCCCAGCCCTGGGGTGAGAAATAGGACAACTCATCCGCAGGTGAAGTGAGCAAGCTAATGTTTTCTTCCTTTTATACCTTTTCCTCAAACATCCAACCCAAATGCCCCCAACTTGAGAACAGCTGCCGACTTCCTATTGCCTGAGACATGAATTCCATTCTAATTCGAAGGAGTCTGGACTCCAGTTAGCTGGTCCAATGCAAGGCTGGGAGACCCAAAGGCCAGGAGGGCTGCCGCGGAAGAAAGGATAGCCCAAGACGGGACAAGAAAAGAGGCCAGTTGGCAGGGCCAGACACCAAAGACATCTGGTGTTGCCCATAGTTGCAATGTGAGGTCGCAGCTGCAGAGACACTCAGGTTTGAGTCCTGAGTTCTAATTCTAACACCATTCCTACACTCCCTGAAGCCCTAGGCAGGAGGTTTTCCTTCTCTGGCCCCCAATTTCCTCTGTGGCTAAATGAAGCCATCTATCGTTCTTGGCAGCCTCATGTTCCTGGATTCAGTGACGCCTTTTGGGGGAATAATCTCAGGTTGTGGGATGAGTGCAGGGACATCTAGAGAGCGACCAGTCTGAGCTGGTTGGGGGGAGGGGCATCTCACCTGTCCGTTCTTCATGAGGTCAGCCCACATGCTGGTGCCGTCGCCGCCGCGCATGAGCACGTGGTAAGCGAAGAAGTAGACGCCTGGCATGGGGCAAGTAAACTTGCCGCTGGCTGCCTCATAGGCGTTGCCCACGTTGGTCACCACGTCGTCGAAGCGCAGCACCTCGTAACCCTCGTGGGGCCGCCGCAGGCCCGCGTAGAAAGCAATGCGAGGCACGTAGCCTGCAGCAGGCGCCACCCCGCCCGGGCCTGGGCCGGGAGGGCCCGGGGGGCCTGGCCTGCCGGGTTCTCCAGGGGGGCCTCTTGGACCTGGTGGTCCCGGGGGCCCCCGCAGGCCTGCTTTCCCGCGCCGGCCCACCTCTCCCTTGGCGCCCGGCGGGAAGGGGGACACGGAAGCAGGCGCGCCGTCGGGGCCCGGGCCTCTGGGCCCATGCGGGTCGCACACCATGCGGCAGCGACCCAGCATCTCGTAGTGCGCTGGCCCGCGGGAGCTGTGCACCAGCAGCGGGATGGCCACCAGCAGCAGCAGCACCATGGCCACCCCGACGGCCGCACCCGCCACCCTCTTGCGGCGGCTCAGCCGCGACGCGGCCAGGGCCAGCAAATCTTCTTCACTCTTGGGCGCAATGGCTGCCGGGGCCCGGGACTCTCCGCGGGCCCAGGAGGCGGTGACCCGCCTTGGGCCTGGGTCTGCACTCCCCCGACGGCTGCCCCCCCCACTCCCCTTACCCTGCCTCTCCGGGTCCCCGCCGCGGCGGTGCCGCTCCC